CAAAGACCAAGAAATTGCTTCCGCTCACCTGTCAGTAGTGATATTTCCTTTAGTGCTCTCTGTCAGAGTAGCCTAATAAAATAATAGAAATTGCTAAGTAATATTTATCTGGGGCAGGTAATATTTTTGTGACCTCTAGTAAGCTCTTAAAGTAATCAGACCTCTCCATATTTAGTCAAAAGCTATTGAGTGACCATTTCTATCTACCATCATATACTAATTTTCTATAATTATGCTATTAAAAATGAAATGAAGAGATAGAGAAGGATTAATCCCTAGCTCTGCCACTTACTCATTCTTTGACCCTATTAATAACAACAGCAATAAGGACAGTTAATATTTGTGACTGCTTAGCAGGCCCCAAACACTTAGCTCAGCATTTAACCTACACCCATCTCATTTAGTATTTGCTGAAAGACTTTGGAAGGGAGATGTGTTATTATATCCCTTTTATAGTTGAGAAATAGGGACTATAGATGGCTAATACACTCATCCAAGATCACACTCTTAGTATAAAATTAATGACTCAGTTGCATTTCCAAGTTAGGCTGCCTGGCCTAGGAGATCATGGGTTCACTGTACATTGAGTCTCCTCTGGGGCTCATTTCCATGTCTGTAGTTGTCTTCCTCACTTAGGCAGCCAGGGAGTCCAGGGCTCGGCCCACGGTGAGTTTCCAGTCTTGGTGTGGGAGTTAGAGGGGATGGTGCACGGATGAGGGAATGGAACACAGTGTGGCTGAAGCCATAGCAGGTCACGGGAAGGCAGGGTGAGAAGCAAGGGGACATCTGAAATGCCCACTCCCAGTCTAGTGATCGGAAGTGAGGGATTAGCTACAGAGAACCCCCAAGACTGAACATGCAGGTATGGGAGGCAGACTGGAAACATTGCCAGAGTCTGGGGAGACTTAAGTCATGGGAACTTATTCAAGGGTGTTCAGGGCAAAGGATGCTGGTGGTCAGAGCTGTGAAGGGTGCTGAGCACATTCCTGTGATCTGTGAAACAGAGGAAATAACCCCATCTCTCTTACACAGATCTGTGATGACTAGGTGAACTAGTCTATGTGGAAGCACTCTGCAAACTCTAACATGAGGATTTTTATTACAATGTGTTGCCTGTGTTTGTGCATGCAAAATAAAATGAATCTGTGAGTCAGAGCAGCCTGGGCAATGGATTTCTGACCTGGGACACCTCAGTAGGATTGAGGACTAGGAAGAAAGTGGGAAGGTTGTTTTGGCAAAGAGAGAGCGGAGATAACTTTCCAGCATTGTTTCGTGTTCTTAGGGGACAGCACACAAGTGCTCCAAGAGGAGAACCAAGGCCATTGCAAGAAATGATGCTCAGAGGCTATGATTTCTAGGTGACGACATGCGGTGTGGTGACAGACTGGATACAGGATTTAAAATACACGTGGCAGATTTTGTGTTGTAGCTACATCAGTTAGTGGCAGAGGGAACCTCCAGGGTTTGTGGGTGTTGTCACCTTCCTGAGCAGAAGGACAGCAATGACAGGGGAGCTGCACTCAGCTGCAGTCAAGGACAGACCTTGGGAGAATTTAATACTTCTGTCCAGCACAGGCTGGAGGTGCACAGGGTGGGTCATGGGGTCACAGAGAAGCCACTATTGGGTTTCAATTCCACTCCGGCAGCCCAGGGAGCTGGAATTAGCAGCACTGGGAGGCAGCTGGTTTCACACAGCAGCCTCAGGGAATGCATCCAGCACAGTGGTAAGGCTTGTGTCCTGATTTGGCGGGGAGCAGGACCGAGACGGGGGTGGGCAGGGGCACAGCTGTTAGCTGGCATCAGGCCTGGCAAACAGGCCAGAAGCAGAAGGCTGGAAGCTTTGCAGCTTCACCAATGCTGGGGAGAAGCTGTGCAGACACTTCCCTGCTGGGGATGCCCTCAGCCCCCAACGCATAGCATTTACTTTAGGCTGAATAGGTAATAGACATCAACCAGCCTCCTGCATTGTAATCTGACAAAAAAAAAAAAAACTCCAAGGAAATCGGGAGGAATAGGTGAAGCCAGCCTTTGTTTGTGGAGGAAACACTAAGCCAGAGAATGCTTTACCTTTTCTCTAGGATGAGTAAGTAGGATGAGAAAAATGAAAGGAGCTAATGGAGAGGAAATAGAGAACATACCCTTAAGGTCATAGAGAGAAAAGAAAAAGTTCAAAATAACGACAAATGGGGAGTGTTGGAGCAGAGGATAGTGATTCCACAGAGACAATTGAGGTTTCTAAAAAGGAGACCAGAGCCAGAGGATGAGAGTGTAGGCAAAAATATAATAGAAGAAAACTCACCTGAGCAATGGGAAGCCTGATTACGTATATAGGACTGGCTAATGCAGTATCTGTATTAATTAAAAAACTACCTGACACATCCTGGTAATATTTTAATATTTCAAATACCTCCAAAGCATCCAGGGGAAAAAATCAAGTAGCTTACAAAGGGGGCAAACCATATTTCCCTTTGGTATCTTCTCTAAAATATTAAAGTTCAGAAGAGCATAGATCATAGGGATAGATGGGGCAAAGGTTTGGTATATAAATTGTACAAGAATTTTATTCCAGCAAAAAAAGAAATATAGAATATATGTACTCTATTTCTGAAAAGGTAAGCTAAGTAGCTGCAAAAGAAAGTTCCCTGAAAAAAAAAAGACTCAAAAGTGAACTTGAGCCCTGGCGGAGTGGCCCAGTTGGTTAGAGCATTGTCCGCACAGCAGCAGGTGGTAGGTGTGATTCCTGGTTGCAGGTTTGGTTCCTGGTTGGGGCGTGTGCTGGAGGCAACTGGTCATTGTTTCTCTCTCACATTGGTGTTTCTTTCTCCTCTCTCCCTCTCTCTCTCTTCCTTCCTTTCTCTGTAAAATCAAGAAATATATCCTCAGTTGAGGATTAAAAAAAAAAAGTGAACTCGAGTTGACCTAAGGACATAGAACTCAGTGATGGGAAGAAATCATTGTACAGAAGGGTTTGCACTAAGCATAAGAACACATAAATTAAATTTAAAAGTTTGTTGTAAATATGATTCCTAACCAAAGGAAAATGTATGGAACACAATTTGAAAGAAACACACCTAATAGTAAATTTGGCAATGTGGGTTATACATGTTTGTTCAACGTACTGGACACGTAGTCATCATACTTTATAAGTATTTCCTTAATGAGTATAGGACCCTTACCACGTGCGTAAAAATAAGCTGGAGAAATGGGGATGGCCAACACTTAGAGGAAGCTGAGTCACTTCCTTCTTCTGCTGGGGAAAGTTGGGTACATGGTAGAACTTTCAGTTCCCTTTATGCCTATGACACAATTTTTTTGTTATTTCAAAGTGAAAGTCAAGTTCATCATTTCTATGTAATTATTGTTATTATAAGCTCAAGGGGGTTGGGTCAGATTTTATGAGCAAATAGTTGAGGTCATGCATTTAGGATGTGATGGGCACTCTGAGGGCCTTTTGCCATGTAATGAAAAGTATCCCCATGTCAATGGGCCTGAAGGGATAATGTGTCCGTCCTGGTTCTTAACTGTCAGCCATGAACCCTCACTCAGTAATACCCACATTTTCCCCTCACCTCTGTGTTAGTGTGATTCACTTGGGCTTAATTTTTCATTTTATTTTCTTGGATTTCCATGATTTATTGAATTCAGTGAGTTTTTTTATTTGTGAAGAATTGAATAAAAGCTGATTTATAACCATAATTCTTTTAAGAGGAGTACTTAACAATGAGCTACAAAGTTGGCTTTCACAGGTGTCGGTATCCGAAGCTCACCCACTGCTGTTTCCCCATGTAGAAACTCTCTGCTTTGAGAATGCAGGGACTGCACAGCACAGCAGAGAGTGCTGAGCGCAGTGAGGTTTGCACTCTCAACGAGGTGCTGAGTTAAAGTAGCAATGGGCATAATTTTTCCCGGAGCTCTTAAATGAATGAGATCTCTTCTGAACTAGGGATTAATATCAAAACTGACCCAGGATGTTCCAGATAGAGAGGCTTACTCTGGATTTCACTGTTTCCAGAATCAATTTATCACAAGCCCCAGTAATTGTAGACTATTTAGCTTTGGCCTTATTATTAGTCACACATATTGCATCATCTTTTGGATAATATGAAGTCGTTCCCTAATTTGGGGGTGAAGTCTAGAGAAAGTCTTTATCTGTGTTCCAGGGAAGTAAGTTTCAGGTAGTATTAAGGGTGAATGATTTATCTCCCTCCTGAATTTGACCTTGGCTCATAATAATCATGTCAGTGGGTTGGGGATTTCCTGGGAATCTGTTTGTTCTGCCCTAAATGTGTGAAAGACATACAGCTCTGTTCTTTGTCCTCCATTGTGTGTTGTGCCCAGAGAACATTTAATCCTCTCTTTGAAGAAGGCTAAGTGTGGATTATGCACTCTGTGAGTTATCAGGGGTGAATTTAAGACCATTTTTCCTGAATATAAACACGTGCTAAGACATGGAAACTCATTCAATACTAGTATAACATCAGTATAACTATGAATTAGCTGCAAACATACATATAGTGTTTCCAAGCCAAATAAAAATTTTATATGATCATTTCTTTTTAAAATTATTATTTAAGACCTTTATTAACAGATGCTTGCAGTTTGTTCACTTTTTTTGAAAAAAATCAAGCTGTAATCAGGGGTGTGGATTTGTAAACTTTTATTACAAATTAAAGATGAGGTTCTTAAAAATCTCAACTTGACCAGATATGAAACAATTTAAAAACCGTTAAAGGTATATTGAGAAAAAAAACAGGCTTATTTTTTTAAAAAAAACCCCACATTTGTCATTACCAAAAAGAGACGTTTTTAGATAAAAATAATAAAAACCCATGCTGCATAGATAAGGCAGATAGTTCTAGTCATCTGGTCAATGGGGAAAAATTGAGCACTGAAGGTCTTCAGCTCCAATCTTTTGTTTATTTCTTACTGCTGGAATTTCCTATTCCTTTCTTCTTGTTGGGTGACTAGCCCGGATGAAGGTGGAGATGGTAAGCTGGCCTTTACTCAGCCCCGCCCTGCTCAGCCTCCGGAGTGAACGAATTCTCAGCTGGTGGATCAGCTGCTTTTGTCTCTTTACCATCTTGTGGTTTAGGGTTTTCTGGGCATCTGCATAGGTAATTGATGTGGCGGTGGTAGTGATGTTGAGGTGGCTGCTGACCTTGGGTCTCGTCTCCTTGATTGTCCTTATCTTCTTCATCGCAGTCCTTTCTAGGTTGTCTTTGGCAAGGAGGGCCCCTGCAAAATCCTGGTCTGTAGCCCCGATGCATATTCTGTCTCACTGGTCTACCTTGTTCTCATGCACCCTGGTTGTCAGCACCCTCCATCACTTCTCCCTGCACAGGAGGGCTGGAATATTGTGGTTGATGCCCATTGGGTCTCCGCATGTAGAACGATGGGAACCGTGGCCTGAGGTGGGGTCGGCACGGTTGGGCCTTCAGGAGCACTGTCCGATCCCTTACTCTTTTCCCCACTCTCACGATTCTGGTAATTCTGCTGGTAATTTTGTGGAGGAGCCCCGCAACGTGGATAGCGTGGATAATGGTGACTGTCTGCTGCATATTTACCGCCTTGCACTGGGACTGCACCAGGGCCTGTAACGTTTGCTGCCTTCACACCCTTTTCTCCTTTGACAACATCAGACTCCACAGCCTCTCCATCTCCTACACTGTGAAGGTGCTTCCTGGGGTCATTCTTTATGGCAGTCTGGTGTACAAGTACATCTTCCTTGGTATCATTCCTGTTGATGAAACCACATCTGTTTCTTACATCGAACCATTTTACTGTTCCCAAAACCTTCATTGAGATGACCTTTCTTGTTCCCAGACTGCTGCTCCCTGCTCCACTGACAGTGGTGCCCAGCCTGGTGTTGGCAGTGCTGAAGGTGGGGGTCATGGGGGAGGTGGCAGGTGGCTGCTGGGTCTTGGCCTTGCTGCTCAAGGTTGCAGCGATCGATGGTGACTGGGGCCAACTGGGGCCGACTGGGGCAGCTATGGCTCCTCCCAGGGTGTGATTGTAACTAGGCCGCCGGTGGCCGAGGGGCTGCTCATGGGTCTCTGGGTTCCACTTTCTGCTCCTGCTGCCAATCGAACTCTCATTTCTTTATATATAATATGTATTAATATGGGATATGTATTATGTGTAGTGTACATGTTACATATTATAAATCCCATGTGTATTTTATATATTATATAGTATATATTTTGTATATTTCTGTGAATAATTTTTGACTTTATATTATATCGCTTAATAGATAAAATAACGACAAATGCATGAGACAGAATCACCCTCTAAAACTATTTTAAATGCCAAGTTTATATCTGCTAGCATCTGTGTAATTTTTGCAATAACCTGATTTTTACATTTTTAATATTACTATGATCCAAGAGTTTGTGGAACATCCTCACCAACAAATATGTACATATGCTATGTATAGAGGGATGGTATGTATATACAGAGATACAGTATAGATTGATGATGTGTCTTCGAAATATCATTGGATTCATTCATGTGTTTCCAGTCCTATTGTCAGTAAGGACTTCTTGCAACTGCAGGGCTGCTAAGAAGAAAAGCAGTGGGTTAGACCAGTGGCTTTCAAGTTCATTCGTTTGTTTGTTTTGTTTGTGTATTTGTTCATTCACTCAGTAGGAGGGAGAAAAGAAGACATTTAATATATATTGTGATTTATATAATAAATTAAAATTATATACATATATACAGACACACACATCTATGTGTACACACACACACACACACACACACACAATACTCTGGAAGTTTGAATCTGCCAGCTCACTTGTAGTGGTTCCAATATACATTAGGGTGCTTGGTGGTGGGTGGGGGTATAGGGGATGGGGATTTACATTACAAACAGCAGGGAGAGAATATTCAGTGTAAGGGTGGGGTGGCTATGGGGAAGAGTGCACAAGGGAGTAATTTGTCTGAGGAAGAGGAGCTAAGGAGAGGTGAGAAAGCCTTGGGGTGTCTTCCTGGGTCTGGAGACACTGAGAGTTTGGAGAAAGGGTTTTAGGAAGTGTTGCTGTGGGTCTGTGTTGGATACCCTTTGACTTTCCTGCAGATTCTGTTAGGGTTGGAGTTTTTCTTTACTTCTGGCTGCTGCGCAGTGCTTCCTGGATGGAATGAGAGCCTGCACGGAGACTGCATGTGTGCACTAGGTGCTGGTAGTGTAATGGGAGGCACAAAACACAGACTCTCTGCTCTCAAGAAACTTACACATGAGTAGGGGGGCTGGTATGACTCAGATACCCGCCAAAGTATCATTCATTCATTTACTGTTGTTTTTTTTTTAGCACCTGCAGTGTGCCAGGCACTTCTTATGTTCTTGGGATTCAGATTCATCAGTAAAACACATGCTATTATTCTTGCCTGTGGTGGCTTTCTAATGTGCCTACTTATCTAAGCTGGAACTACATTTCCCAGGATTTCCTTCTCTAGAAGTGCAAAAGATCTGGAAAATAGAAGTGAAGCTGCACCATTAGTCTCTGAAGGTCAGCATGGGCACCAAGCTCTGCTTCAGCTCACGTGTTGGCTGGATCACCTTCTGAATGTGCAGCCAGTGACCTTCAGATCCCACTGGATCTCCTTGCCTTGCTCCTCTGGGGCCTGGGCCCAGCAGGGTACAGCTCCATGTCAAAGGGCCAGCTTCTCCAGCACATTCCCCACAGCACTGAAGTCGGAGTCATCTGCGGCTGTCTTTGTGAGCTCCACTTTGTCCCTGCTCTTGTGCACGGCACAGCCAGGTTTCCTCTCCAATGGCCAGAATGGTTGACTCCTGGCAACTTCACACACCACACCAGATGCAGAGGCAACTGCCCGCATAGCTGCCCCACCAGCTCCGACAACTGCATGGTGGCCCATCCTGGGATCAGTCCCCATTTTCTCTTTCACAGTCCTGATGCTGCTGCGATTGATCCTCAATGGATACACCGCCCTTGTGCAGTTTACATTCCAGACGGACAGGAAACAGCTTAATAAAGGTGTCTTGGAAAGAAAACTAGAGGAGAAAATTAAAGAATGAAAAAGTCAGAGGGATGTAGGGCACCATGGGAGGAGGGGTAGAGGCAGGTGCTCTCTTCGGTAGGGCAGTCACGATGGGCCTCATTACAAAGGCAGGATTTAAATGAAGATTTGAAGGAGGTGAGGGACTAGCCAAAGGAAAGCCTCCAAGGGCCGGGGAAACATGGAACACAGCCTCCAGTGCTCCAGGAGAATGTCTGGAGCATTCCAGAAGCAGCAAAGAAGCCCATTGCAACAGGAGAGGTGAGAGCCCGGAGGATACAGGCTGGAACTGCAACAGGGGTTGGCAAACATTGGCCTGTGGGCCAATTCCAGCCCCTCTGCCTGTTTCTGTACATGTCTTCTTGGCGCACAGCCGTGCTTGTTCATTTACATATCGTCTAAGGCTGCTCTGGGGCTACCACAGCCGAGCTGAATACTTGTGACAGACGCCATATGGCCTACACAGCCCGAAATATTTACTAAAAAAGTTTGCTGACCTCTGAGGTTTTGGCTTTTACTCTGAGTAAAGTGGGAACCGCTTGAGGGTTTTGAGCAGAGGAGGGCCCGGCTCTGTTTTGCCTTATAGAAGAATTATTCCTGCTGCTGTGCGGACAGCAGATTGCAGGGGTAAAGGGTAAAAGCAGGGTGACCCATCAGGAAGCTATCGCAGCAATCCAGGCAGGCAATGATGTGGCTTGGACCAGAGGGGCTGCCGGGGAGGTGGTGAGAGGTGGGTGGATTCTGATTATCTTTTGAAGGTTGAGCCAAACTGACAGACTGGATTTGGGGTGTGGGAAAATAGAGGAGTTGACAAATGTGTAATTACAACCGTCTAAAGAGCTGGTATAAAGGGACTCCTTCGAGGTGCCTCAGGGACCAACGGGGATGGGAGCGATGCCAGTCTCCCCACCCAACTCGAGCTTTTCTGTCTCGTCTGATTTATGTATTGGACTTTCTACTAATTTGGTTGCTCCCAACCATGCCTGCCTGTTAGAATCATCTGGGGAGCTTTACACAGTATAGAGGCCTGGGTTACCCCACCCCCAATTCTTATTTAATTGGGTTGGGTTTGGACCTGAGTGCTAGGATTCATAAAAGCTCCCAGGTGATGCTTCCATCTGTCAAAGCTGAGAACTAACACTCTAACATTTTCTAGGAACCAACTTCCTATGCCTTTTAAATAATGGAAAAGGGCTGTTTGAGGTCTAGAACTGTGTGGTGGTATTTGCCTTTTTAAATTTTTAATCTTCCCAGCACTCAGCACCTTCGTAATACCTCCTTAATTTCCTCGGAAGGAATTTCTTCTTCCCTTTGTTTACAGCCTTGGTGGTAGCAGTGCCCCTCCCAACATCGTTAAGGTGAACTTCCTGGATCTCTTCTCTCTCTTTTCCTGATGTAGTCACGGGCAGTCACGTGGCAGCTGTGGGACTTGAGCCCCACCCCCTGGACACAGGGATGTCAGAGATGGTTGCAGGTAACTTGTTGCAGCCATGGCCAAAACGGTAGCCTATTCCTGTCCTGGATTTTTCTACTGTGAAATGATTGCTGAGTCCTGCTCTCAGCTTCTTGGCCCTCAGTGCTCTCTTGGCTCTTTCAGTTCGTTACTGAGCATGACAACCTGGCCTCCTGTTGATTGTCAGTCTTCTTCCCCTCACCCTATACTATGTCAATAAATTCCCTACTGCTTAAGTCAGCTTTATCTTATAACCAAGAACCCCACTGATACAGAATGCCCGGGTGGCATTCTTTGCTCTATTTGTACCATGACATCATTCATTTGGCAACTATGCACTGTGTGATTTCATTGTTGGAAAAGAGCAAACAACAAGAACAACAATCTATTGGACTTCGCTTATTCCGTAGAGAACAGACAGCTAAGAGCGGGTGCCAGATTTTTGGAGATTAGAACAATGATTTATAAAACTGGCATAGCTATCAATGACAACAATTTATTAATCATCTACTTCCTGAAAGTATATAAATTTGATTTAATATTTTTGCAGATGCCAAATCTTTGGTTGAAAATGCAGTGTGTGTAAAATCTTCTAACTGGTGAGTTAACAGGACCTCAACCTTGGGGCATGTGTTGGATAGCCAAAGGAAAAGGAATTTGTGCATTTTGGATCCTGATGGAAGCAGACACGAAGGCAGAATTAGAAGTGCAAGATATTTAGTGTAGTAAATATCTGTGAACAATAAAGTGGGAGGTCAAAGAAGCAGTTGGAGAGACGTGTCTGGTGCTGCTGCAGGTCTGACACTTGTTAACGAGAGCAGGAAGGAAGGAGCATCTGCAGGAAGAAACTCAGGTTGCAATGCAGCTCTGAGAAAGTCTAGAACAGGGGGGACGGGGAGCTTCAGAGCAAAGATCGCCAGTTAGTGGAGTCTTGTGTTGGCTGGGAACCCCTAGCTAAAGCAGCCCCATGTAGCTCTGTCATTGGCTGGGAGGAAACTGGGAAGAGTGTAGCTTTGGTGTGAAGGCTGGAACTGATCTCAAAGATGCAGCAGCTGAATGTGGTCAGCTAACTACTCTCCTTGTGGCAAGTTCTCTCTTGAAAGCTTTGAGCAGTGTACTTCCACCAAGGTCACAGAAGGGCATCGGAGACAAGAGAGGAGGAGTTCAAAAGCCTTTCAAAATTCAGGTGAATCTGCTCCCCCATCCTGTTCTGACCATTATTCAAGACTGCACAGAGCGTGAACACTTGATATGAGAGGGGAAAGGTTACTGGTTTTTGTGTGTGTGTTTTAGTCTTTTGATCTGTTGTTTGAGGAGGGCGAGTCATTACAAAAATTGATGCATTTCCCACCCCCAAGAGGAGGTGGGCTACTTGGGAGAACAGGCATTCATTCTGGTTCTAAGCAGGGGACCCTTCAGGAAGGGTGAATCAATTTGGGGATTTTCAGATCTTATCTCTTCTTGCCTGCTCAAACTATGTTCTTTCTGTTTTTTTCCTTTCTCAGGTACCATCTCTTGCTCCTTCTCTATGATATTATTCCTGCCATTATATAAACATGTTTTTTAAAAATAAAATTTTCCCTTGTACCAAATTCCTCATCAGTAACTCCACAACTATTCTGCACCTATTCAATGCCCGGCAAACTAGATTTCTCCTGTGCCTTTACGCCCATTCATTCTTCATTTGACCTGACTTTACTCTTACTGCCCCTTAGAAACTGCATTTGTCAAAGACACCAGTGACTCCAAGGAGAAACTCAATGGCCTATTCTGTTATTGTCTCATGTGACCTCAGTGGCACCCAACACACTGAGGACATCCTTTGTGAAATACCTCTCTTGGTTTTCCACTCTCCTGTTTTGCTAATTAATTTATTATTTTTAGAGAGCAGGAGGGAGGGAGAAAGAAAGGGAGAGAAACTGAACTTTGGTGGGAGAGGGAGAAACATCAATCTGTTGCCTCTTCCCATGACTGAGAAGGAACCCACAACTCAGGCACGTGCCCGGACCAGGAATCAAACTGTTGACCTTTTGCTCTGTAAGATGACACCCAACCAGCTGAGCCACACCAGTCAGGGCATCCACTCTCCTGATTTTCTTTCTTTCTTGTTACTCCTTAATGTCATTAGTTGACTCCTCCTCCACACCCAGATCTAAACTTTGAACTTACTCTGGTTTTGATCTGAACTGAGTACTCTTTTCTCACGCTCTTTCCCAGAGTTTCTCAGTCAGGGTGCTATAGATGTTTTGGAAAAGGCAGTTCTTTGCTGTGCAGGATGTTCTTTGCTTCCAAGGACTTTTAAATCTGAGGCGCTGGTCTCCAGGCACTTAAATCCCACCTTACCTTCAGATTTTTAATCAGTTCTCCAGAAGGTAACCTTGAAAGGAGGAATTTTTGCAAAGGGTTTATTAAGGAAGAGCTCCCCGGGCAAACAGAGAGTGTATGGGGTAGTAGAGCAGGTAAGGACTGGCACCCAAACAGTGTTGTTCAGGCCAGGGTCCAGCCTCAGAGCGATCCCCAGAGAAGCTCCGAGCACAGATTACACCTCAGGGTCTGAGACAGTGAAGCTGGGTTTTTGTGTTCTTACCTACATCGATCACAGGTACTGACTGCTGCGTGTGTGAATACCAGGGCGGCGGTTGCCAGTGGGTCAGCTATGAACTCCCAAGCAGTTTCTTGTAATCTTGAAGGTTTTCCTGCAATAGATCCAAGCCCCATTGATTTGAAACCTTAAGGCTATTAATGTTTCTTTAAGGCAACTACATTTGCTAGAATTTTGGGGCTAGAGAACACCTTTTATTTAAAGTTGTTTATTTCTTAAAGAAGGGGGCTTGGTTCCTCAACCTGGTGGTCATTAAGTATTTATTGCCCATGATCTCACTCATCTGGTTACAGTGATCCCAGCTTTTAAAAGTATTTCATTAAGTATTTGTAAGCTTTTCCTTCTTAAGTTATATAGGTCAAAATAATTATTGTAATATTATAATAGAACCAGCCCTCAAACAAAAAATTGATATATCAATTTTTCTCTAAACTCTTTTAGTAGATTATAAATAGGGAGGAAATGGTCTTACGTTAAAATGCTGATAAAGCCTCGAATGAAATATAATGTTTGCAGGTTTTCAAACAGCCTCATAGGTGAGAATCGGCACAGTACAATTCACCGCCTTATTAATTCTGTGTTTCCAAATGCTCATCTATTTCTTTTCATCATTATTTTGAATTTCTAAGGCTCTTTGACTGCTTTGAAGCCACTTCCGTGAGTGGAATTGGAGAGAGTGGCATGGTCTGTTCAATCTCAGAAGCCGAAAGCAGGTTGTAGAATCGTCCCACTAACGGCTAATTGGATGTTTGATGGCATATGCATGGAATAGCAAGACATATAGCATAGAAAGAATAACACAGCTGAATTGAAAAACAACTTATGATACTTATTAGCATTAACATTTTAATGTACCACTCCTGAAAAACAATGAAGTAATCTGTATTTCCTGAAGTAACTCTTGTGTAAAGTGGTAATCAGGGAACTTCTGGACAGGTCCACGGTTTGCATTAATTTTTCTGTTTTTTAAGTACCTAAATGAAATCCTCCAGGTTTGACATCATGAGCTATAGGATTTTCATTACAAATGTACAAGTGGAAAAGTAATACTTCATAAAGTTATATGTAGTGTCCATGGAAGCATTAAGTGAGCTGGTTGCCTTTTTATTTTTAATATGTGTATTTATTTTTAAATATAGATATTTTTATTTCAATGTCTTTGAAATGCATCAAAACTGCATCTTTCTTCTGTAGTTCAGGAAGATGGTGCATAAACAGTTTTGTATTTTCTCACTTGAACAAGACACCTTCAATTGTTTTTGAAATAAAGCATACATAAACCAACAAACACTAGTCTAAACAAAGACTGGCAATTTTTTCATCTTCTGGTATCACTGTGCTTTTTGCCCTTGCCCTCAGGTCCTCTCAAACCCTGATTTTAGAAATAAATATGCTTGA